TGGCAGCTGGGCAGTCAAGGAGCTCTGCAGGAGGCTGAAACCCAGGGCCGAGGCTCTCACCAAACCCAGCAGCTCTGGGGACAGGAATCCCTGCAGACGGCTTGGCCCGAGCTCACCGGCAGCCCTTGATGAGCCAGTTCGGATCACTGAGCAGGCAGAAAACCAGCCCAGCCGAAAAAAGCACGGTTTTCAGCTGGGATGGCTGAACTGGGTCATGGAGTGGTTGGAGCACCCCTTTCGGGGCAGCATGCCGGGGGACTGCCTCGGCTGTCCCGCCAGAGCACCAGAGCTGCTGGCATGAAGGAAACCCTCATCCTGTCCCACCCCGCCAGCTCGCAGCGATGCCGCAGAGACGAGTCTGTTCCGTCAAGGTGAGCTGAAACCAGCAAACTGTGATGTGAGCTGGGCCGAGGTAATGGGCGGCCGACAGGAACACTACGTGAAATACAACGAGGGCTGATGTGCCCATCTGTCACCGAACCTGACAGCGAGAGGGTGTTAATAAGCCTCAGAATCGGGGTCAACCTAAGCCGGTCATCATTAGATTGGCAGATGTGACAGACAGTTGATGGGAAAAATGACAGAGAGATGGCTCTGCTGCAATGAAGCCTCCCGTCTGCAGCAGCACCAGCAGCGCAGGGAATTGAGACGCCCTGGATTTCAACACTGACCGCAGTCTCAACACAGAACTGAGCACAGGGCTCTCTCTGAGCACCCCGAGTTTCGGTCGCTGCTGTTAAGACCAGCCCGGTGCTCAGCGTGCAAGTCGGCTGAGAGGGATGCAGGATGAGAGGGGTGCACGGTGTGAGCGCCTGCTGGCTGGCACAGGGCTTGCTGGCAGAACTGGAGCAGTTCAGAACAGAAAGCCACCCTGTCCTCGTCTCCCCAAAGGCTGTGGAGGTGCTCACTACGAGGTCAAGTCCTCCACGCTCAGCCCACAGCACGGCAGAACAAATCTGACTAAACTGATCGCAGCTTTGCTCCTCTCTTCCGCGGCAAAGCGAGGTCCAGGTATGCAATTCCTTCACACCGCAGGGCAAGGGAATATGGGTGGATTTATCCTGCCAGATCCTGGGATCTCTGTCCTGGAGATTTGCTTTCTGCCCCACTTTTCTGAAGATGTTAGGGGGATCCCCTCTCCCCACCTAACCAAAGCTGAGAGCCGCACGTGGGCAGCCACGGCCAAGCTTTTGACCACGCCAGAACCCACGTAGGCTGACCCATTTTCTGCAAAAGCTACGTGACCCGACTGTGGATCCATCTAGGGCAGTGGTGGATGTTGCTTCACCTGCATGCAGGGAGGGCAGCTCATCTTGAGCTCTGACGCCCGGCTACCCTGGAGGGAACGATGGTGTCGCAGAGACCCTCAGCAGCCTGGCCTGAACGCGGCACAGGTTGACTGCACGTGGCACGCCAGGCCCAGGTCTCCGGATCTCTCGAGCACTTATGCTTGGTATTAAACAGTTCAAGCAAAAATAATGACTTTGGAACCTTGGGGAAGCCTTTTTAAAAAAAAAAAAAAAAAAGAAAATGAAACTGTCATCCTCTGCACACATCAGCATGTGTGTTAAACTCAGAAATAAGTCCTGACTTTTTCTTTTTAGGCTGAAATTGCTTAGAACCGTGTTCTTTACATCTGACTTTTTGGCATAGGCGTACGACATTTACTGGCACTAACATTTAAGCTCTCCTCTCTTGCAGAGAGGCACATAAGCTTGTACACACACACACACGCTGGCACTGGCACAATGAAAAAGCATTTGCTCCCCCACTGCTCACCTGCCAGCTGGGGTTACTAAACTTTTCCCTTGAAATAAAAATGCTGTGGAATAATAAGTCCCACCTGTCGGCCATTTCTTTCTTTCTTTTTTTTTTTCCAGGTCCTTCTGCTCCTTTCATCATAGCTTCATGGAAAAGCCTTGATGTGTTATAGCTGCGTGTGCTAGAGTAAAGGCCACCTCAGCTTTTCCATTATAAACCCCGGTTTTGAGGGGTTTATAAAACTGCTGCACGAAGTTGCTCCAGGGCTGTTACAAAGCAAAGAAAAGGGGCTGGAACCAGGATGGAGTTTATTTTTTCTCCTCCTTTCTTAATTAAAATTTGGCAAGTGATTGATCCACAATACAGGCTAATCACTTGGGGTAGTAGTTTGAAAAATACATTAACGAGAGCTGAGATGTTGAGAAGTCGTTAGGGCTCACGTGGTGCCAGAAAGGATTGGAGTATTTTGTCTTAAAGTTGCCTCTTAAAAATAATAAAAAAAAGCATGATGTCTGCTATAAATTGGCTAAAGCAAGAAAACTCAAAAGGAAGGATTTAGGCACTTCCTGCTGTCCTGTGGGTCTAAAAAATGGGCAATTTCCAAGTAGAATATGCTCCCAGGCAAGAGAAAAAAGACACAAGCACAGAGCAACTTTGCCCACACAGTGCCCCTATCAATCCTGAGCTCCAAGCCTGCCTGTTCTACAGGAAGAACCAAAGCAGAAAGAGGACAGAAGGGACCCATCCCGAGAGGCACCTTCTGTCAGGAGTGGAATTGAACTCCAAGATCCAACTCTCAACGAAGAGAGCAGCCCCTTCTCCCACCCACGCCTCCACGTGAAGCAGCAGCTTCTTCGCAGCAAATGCTAATTCCCAGAGAAGCAGCCGTTCACCGCTGCCGCGGTGGGCTGCCTCCAGTTGTCAGCTAATGGGGTTAAAGCAATCAGGAGACCGACCTTTTTCACAAAAGCCTCCTCCAAGGGACGAGCTCAGCCCCACAGGTTGTTGGGAGGCCAAAGCTGAAATATGTTAATAAATAACCGGACGACTTCATGGCAGACAGGAACATCATGAAGGGTCAAGCGCAGCATCCTCTACGCAGCTGCTGACTCAGGAGGCCCTTGTGTCGCTGGAAGCACTAAGGAATCACTCGGAAGGATCGCTCTGCATCTGTGCTGTTTCTTACAAAAATTCTTCACGGGACATGCTGTATTATAGCCCAGAAAAAGCTATGAGGCTAAGAACGTAACAGTGTAATCTACCAAAGATATAAATTTGTCAACTATCAGTGGATCCCCTGCATGCATATTCTGTTGTGAAAAGGCTTTTTAGAAGCATTTTTTTCCTGCTCTTGCAGTTGTCATTTTCAAGTAAGCCCAAGACAGGTAAACGCAAGCCTGGGGTCAGCAAATACACATAGGAAATGATGGATCTGGCTGTCCAAGCGATGGGGGAAACCCAACAAACTGCATCTGCTCAAATAAAGCTGCCCTCTTTCAGGCCCTGCATGCCTGCACCCAACAGCTCCATCACTGGCCAACGACAGCCTGACTTGCCTTTTAACTCCATATTATGCTTCGTAAGAAAAAGGATACCTGGGTTTGGGAGATGACAGAACTGCAGCTCAGGGGGATGTAAAGAACTCACCAATCCATTCTCCCAGCAAGACCACCTCAACCTGAGTAACTGCTGACGGACATGCATCAAGTCTGTTCTTCCAGACCTCCAAGGATGGAAGCTCCAGACCTCTCCAGGGAAGCATTGCAGCAGGTTGCCAATCTGTACTATCGGAACACGCTTCCCAGGAGAAGCAAAATACGAATCTCGCCCACTGGAAGCTGTAATGTTCCCCTCGGTTAAGGAGGAAGGATAGAGAAGGGGCAGGCAAACCTCTTCCAGAGGGAGATCCACCCCCCATCACCCAGCGATTCGGGGCTGCGGTCCAGCTGCCTGCAGGGGATGGACACCGACTGCAAGGACGGTCGACATTCAAGGGAAGGAACCCCACCTGCTGCAACACCACTTCCTCTCCTGCCTTTGAAGAACCTGCAAGTGCTGTCAGGGGCTTCCAAACGGGATCCCAGGGAAGTCACTCCAGGTTTGTGTCCTGGTTTCTGCACACCCTGAAGATATCAACAAGCTCTCTGCATGCAGGATGGATGGATGAAAAATGTCACTGTCTTGGGTGCTCCAGACAACCACCACGGAGGGAGGAGCAAGCTCATCAGCAATATAAAACCAGCTGACAAAACAGGTAATATGATTTCCTGGGAACCCAGGCACAATCACACGGCACCGAGCAACACTTTCTTTATCCCTCTCTCCACTTCTGTTGCACCTACAACCACAGAGCTGCCTGCAGAGCGTGCAGTGTACAGCATACCTGTAGCCTGGGACCACAGCCCTCAGGCACAGTGATTCTGCTCACAGAGCAAGTATTAGGAGAGAAAACCACTCAATTCCTTATGTCCTGACGCTGGGTGAAGGGATGGTTCCTCCCTTTCTCTAAGGCCACCTAACCAAGGAGGACCATCTAACCAAGGAGCATCCACGGGTACTAAGGCACTGGCAAGCCAGTCAGCAAGCATCACGATCTTGGTTTGCTTAAGCCATCTCCAGGGTCCCTTTCTGCTACCCCAGCCTTTCCTTCATGTTAATCCGACTCAGCAAAAGGAGAGAGAGATAAAGTCTGCTACAGTGAACACTTTATCGCCAGAATTCAGAGCCAGTTTGATGCACTGAGCTTCAGTACAACAGTACCTAAGCTAGAAAGCCCAGCAACTATTTGCGGAGTTCGTGGTTAAAAATGTCTCCCCCTCTCCGTTAGCAACCGAACAGTTACAACCTGGAGTTGGACATCATGAGGCGAAAGTCCAAAAGTTGTATTTTCAGAAAACCTAAACACTTTAAAAATCCAATCCTCATCAGTGCCCTGGACACCACTGCAATCAGAGGATACCAGAGACGCACAGACCATTGTAGCATCATATCCTGGAAAATATTTAAACCTTAAACCTTTTTAAAACCAATTCCTCTCCTCTGGCCCATACACAGCTGTGAGCATCACATTTCACCCCATCTTCCAGACCCAGCAGAAGTTTAGAAGTGTTCCCAGGCACCAAGAACCTTCAGTTCCAGGGTCTTGTTCAATCCACGGTCCTCCCTCTCCCTCGCAGACACACTCATGCTCTAATTTAATATTAGATGTCGGCTGGGCATATAAACCCCAGGCGCACAAGAGAGAGAACTTTCCACCAGCAGGGATGGCAGATCTCCAGAATGTTCAAAAGGGGCCGGAAGCCTGACAAACCCACCCGCCTCAACTCCTATTAACTCCAACAAATTGTTTATTGCAAAACAGAGGAAAAATGCTGCCCCTCTCCCCCAGCCAAGTCCTTCCATGTGTGCTGCACGAGCAGGCTCCCTCCTCCCAACCCCGCTGGGGAGCCGGCTTTATACCCAGGGAAAGGTAACAGCGCCGATTATTACACACACTATCCCACAGCTCCTCGCTTGTTAAAAAAAAACAAGAGTCTCTTTTGTGCCCGAAATAAAAGGAGATACCTTAATTAGAACAATGCAGGTTGGTGAGCATTAAACACCGAGCCCAGCTGCTGTATGCCATTAATTCATAAAAAAGGAGGGGGGAAGGAGGGCAGTCTTAACGAGATTACACACATTGACTTTGATCAAGACACAAAAGCACCAAGGCGTTCCAGGGTTTTTATTGCTGTCTTCGGGCTACATTTTAATGGTTACATTAGAAACATACGAACATAGGCTGGGAGAATTTTTTTTGAGACGGGAGAGGCAGTGCAAGCACGCCTTGTGAAAAGGCCTGGTTTAATAAATTGGGGGCTGCAGGGAGAGGCTAGGGCTGGGGAACACATGAGTAGCCACTTATTAATTGCTTCCCCTACACAAGTGCCAAGTCCTAACACAACGTCTTGCTGGACTGTTCCCATCCCGTCTGCTTGGTCGGCAGAAGAGCCTTGTGTGGACACCACACAGCCAGCCTGAACCTCCTCTGCCAGCCTGAACCCCTCCTTCCTCAGGGATACCTAGAGGTGAGATGGGTTCCCCCCCTGAGAGGGTGTAAATGCTAAACACCGAGCAGCTGGAGTGGGACTTCCCCTTTCTGGTGACCACCGCGCACACGAAAAAAAGGCGCCTGATTGAATTTGAATTAAGTTGTTGCTGACCCCAAGAACGGCCTGAAATCGGCGCCACAAATTTAGAAGGCAACTTGAAGCTGCTGGGAAGAGGAGAGGACAAAGACTTCAGAGTAAAGAAAACGAAAAAGAAATTAGCGTTTTATCCTCTGCTTACAAGCGCCGCTGAAGGACCAGATTACTCTTCAACTTCGCAGAGGTGGCAGAGCACACATTCATCCAAACACCTCAAAGCCCCATACCCACATATGTGTCTTTTATAACATGCTGCTAAAATGTTTACAAAAGCTTGTATAAATCTAAATAGTGACGGGTGTAGCTGAAGAGCTATAAAATACAGCCCAGGGGATAGCCAAGTTATTGAGTTGCTATTAGTACTCAAGCCCACAGGCATTTCACCATCCTGGTAACTTTTCTTGGACAAGACTTTTAAAAGGCAGGATTTAAAGGAGCATGATCAGCCTAATCGTAATTCCAAGCACACAACGTGTTCTATAAAGCAGATTTTGTAATGCCTTACAGGAACAGTTTTTAGGAGTGGCATTCCCTTGCATTTTTTGCAACTCAACACCATATCATCTTGCTAACAGGAGAACTAGAAAACACAACTGACTGTTTTCCACATCCCAATCAGAGCAAAATGAAAGCCTGAAAATCAGCTGCACAGGGGACATTAAAGGCTGATTATAAAGCCTACAGCTTTAACACAGGAAAGGAAAACACGTTATATAATAATTAATAACACCTTAAATTTTAACCTGATGTCCTTTAACATGTATAAATTACTACTGCACCGAGTCACCTATTCAGTGTTCAAGGGGGTCCCCAATCATCCAAACAGAATGGCATAGACTTAAAAACGGCACAGTGCTATTTCAAATAATCTGAAAAATACAGATTTATATTCATAAAAGCTCCCTTCCATATCCTCTATCCTGAAGATGATTCCCTTTGCTTCAGGGGAATATTAGGTTTCTCAGAAGCTACCCATTCCACGAAATCTCCGTGGATTTGGCCTCCATTCTCACAGCTTTCCCTCTCTGCACAGATGCCCCACAGGAAATTACTGTAAGGCAAGGTTGTCCCTGGCACAGAGCTTTGACACAGGCAATGGCTGTCCCCACAGCAGCAGAGGAGAAAGCATTTTGGTTGTGACGACTCACACAAAACTCACCCAGGTCAAAGCTGGAGCAGGGTGTTAAATGGCAAAGCTTGGGAAGGTTGCGTGCACGGCACTCGGATTGTTTAAAATAAAGCAAAAAGCACCTTTCCCAGTGGTGATTTAAAATAAAGTTATCCCAGAAGAGAGGAAAAAGTCTATAAGTCAACAAGAGTATCCAAGAGCCTCACCAGAGTCCGCAGCCAGCATTCTTCACAGTGCACGTGCCAGCACTGAATGGAAGTCAGGGGCATTGTGTAGGAGTCCTGAGGAGAAGAAGCAAACAGGTTATTTGCACAGGAGGGATCTACTGACTCTTTGCTCCCAACCCCATCACAACACGTTTCGTTGTGCGTAACATTGTCTCGTGTTTTGTACTAAAATAAAAAAAGCTTGTGCAATATGCAAGTTTGTACTTTTTAAAGTGTTTGTGTAGTAGAGGCAGAAAGCCTCCCGCAGTCCATTTTTTTCGGCTTCCCAGAACTTCCGTTGGAAGTCCATAATCCACTCAAGTTGTGACCTGGCTCAGCACAGTTATCACAAGGGCATCTGGAGTTCTTGCGGCCACCTGCCATTATTCTCTCACCAGAAAGGTCATCAGATCACACAAAAACCAGCAGCGGGGTAAGGTTAACCCTTATCACAACTCTTAGCTCTGCAGGAACAGCTTAACTACATCCCAAGAATGCTGCTGTTATTCCAGTAGACGTGCCTTCTCTTGGAGTATTTTCTATCAGTGCTAATGAGCCTCTGGAAACCAGCAGCAAGCTGATGGGATGAGGGACGGGGACTGCACTCCCACACCTAACAAGTTGCAAGCCGGGCAAGAGCCCACCATGCATCAAGATGAAGTTGCAGAGGGAGCCCTCCTCCAAGCAGAATTTTCTCCTGCTATGAGCAGGATAAAAACCCCACAGCAGATGCAAAGCTTTGCAGGCTCAGACCATCAGAGGGAGCTGCTGCCCTTCTTTAAGAAGGCATTGCCACAGCAGGACATGGACAACTTTTAAATGCTCTGGCAACCTTCCTGGTCCCAAATCACATGGTGGGTCTCATGTCACAGGTTCAGCTCTCTCCTAGGTATGTAAACCTGCACACGCAGAAGGGGGGTGCTGGCATCTGGGAGTTTTCTTTAGGAAGGCTGAAAGTCTCCCCAAGTTGGGGCTTTCTTGGACAGCTACAAACGCCAGCCAAACAATGTAATGCATACAGAAATTTCAATTGCTAAAAAGATCTAGCACTCTCATCTTGAAGGCTAATTGGTGGACAAGGACAAAGATGAGTTCCCCTACTCTACCCCAAAAAGGAGAAAAGCTTCTCCCCTCCTCAGCAAAGATACCAAGACATTTCTGATTCATTACCACAAGTGGAGTGCTACTCACCATGCAAATGAGACATTTATAGCGGTCCCCACGGGAAAGCTGCCTTTCTAACTCACGGACACGAGCCTTTAACGCTTCAAATGTTGTCACTGCAGAGTCTTCTGTAATTCTGCAAGAGACGATAGAGAGTGAGCACCACTGCGCATGCAATTTTAAGAGTTTTGGGGAAAAACAGTCCCACAACAGCTTTCGCAGAGGAAATGGCAACATTTAAGTTAAAACATCCAGCTTGGGGTGAAGAAGAATTCCTGAAAAGCCCAGTGTGAATTCTTTGAGGTGTCCTACTAAACACTTCCAAACACACCATGACAGAACACAGCAAGGCTAGGTCTGAGAGCTTTATACAGATATACAGAGCAAGTTTCTGCAAGACACGGACATTTAAAGAACGGAGTTGTTGTGGTTTTCTTTTTCTTTTTTTTTCCTGTCTCTTTTCTTGTCTCCCTTAAGAGATTCCTGAGAACCAAATGCTTTGCACAAAGTTCTCCACATTGCTCTAAAGCTGGTGGTAACTTTCTGTGGGCAATAGGAGCTGCTCTCCACCTTAGAGAATGGTTGTTGTGAAACATGAAATCAGCACATTACACAGGATCAACACAATGCTTTCAGATTAAAGAAATTCTCAGCTTTTTTTAGGTTCTAATACTGAAAAAAAAAAAAGAAACCAAAAAGCAATGGACACTGTGCCAACATGGAGGCTATAAAAGCAGCTTTACAATCTCTGCTTTCCCATTTCCTAGGGTCATTTTTGATGGGCAGCATTATCTCTTTTGTCACGGAGGCGCTGTGCTGAGGGGCAGGCAAGTGTATTTTCACGGTTCTGCAAGGCTGGTGAAAAGAGCAACTTGCCAACCTAAAAGCAAGGGCAGACAGCAATGCTTAGAGCAAATGAGATGCAGGGAGCATTCTAGACAAGGAGGTGTCACTCCAGCATGCTGCAAAATCTGATTTCTACACAGTGCAGACATAGGGAGGGGCCCTCAAGCATTGCCCAGAAAAGGTTTAGAGTATTGCGTTGACATTAAGGCTTTCACTCTTGCAAAAAAATAAAACAAACTGGTAATTCTCATGTTATGTCAGCGAAATTTTAGGCCTGTCCAAGTAGACTCCAGCTCAGAAGAACTTGAAGAGTACCTCACCAACAGAAGCTGCATCAGTAACACCATAACCCACCGTGGCACCTACACATTCTACCTTTTTAGAGGAGAATTCATCAACAGGTGGCTAAAACATGGGTCTAGTGGAATTACAACCAATAAAGTGAGCTGCAATCTCAGCACTCCCACTAGACACACACTCTTGCTCCTTTGTTCATCAGTCACTTGTCGCGCGCACCCAGGAGGGACCGGAGGCATCTCCCAGGAGGTCATTCTGATGGCTTTTCCCAAGGCTCTGGAAACGGAACTAGTCAAAAAGATCTTGAGTGACTTTTCTAATTATGACATTTCAGAAGAAACCAGAGCTGTGGGAGTGCATATGGCGAAGTACCAGTGTTATAAAGCTCCTTCAACTTCACATCTACCTTTGTACAGATTAGACACTCTCTGCACGAGCTAACCAAGGAGAGATTTTGATCTGAAGAAGATTCATTGCAAACGACAGTTGCTAGGAAATGGTAACAATTCTGAAACTGAAAAAAAAACATAAAGAAACACACGTGCCCTGTAATAGCCTAGTGGGTGAGGACTGCCTGGGGACATGGAAACTGTGGATTTGAGTCTTGGCATCAATAAATAGTCTTGGGAGCAAAATGAAAGGGCTTCAGCAAGAGACAGTGCTCCCTGCTGTGAAACACCCACTCACTCCTACACGTTGGTATAAATTATTATCATACCCCTATGTGGGTTCTCAATCCCAGGGAAGACTTGTGTTTTCAAACAAAGTCTAGAAAGGTGTTAGTTTTGTCCCACGAAGAAACAGAATTACTTATTTATAGCTTGAAGATTACTGTGGGCTGAGAAAATGGTTTCCCTTTCAGTCTGGCCCATCAACAAGCTGATGTTGCAGTTGAATTCAACTTTCTGAAATCCATTCCTCCTTCCTACAGGCGTAAGGGCATTGGAGGTGTAAGGGCAGCAAGAGTGGCTCCAAAGCAGGTGCGAAGTAGAGCCTCAACCTTTGCCAAATTTTCCTAATCCTATCTGTGGAGCTATCCATCCTGCTTTGAACGGCAGACAACTCAGCAAGGGAAGGGAAAAGTTGATTCCTTGAGCAGAACCAAGCAAAGGCCAATTCATCCCCAGTCCCAGCCCAACAACAGTCAAAGCTTGAAAAGGAAAAAAATCTGCCACTGCAACAACTAGAGGAGATAGAAAATGGCTTGTTTATAGAAGTCTAAATGCCTGACCCCCATCGGCCAATTTCGGAAAGTCTCTGAGATAATCGCACCTGTCCAGTAATAAACGAATGAATCAGAAAAGGAGGCTGAATAGAGGTATAAGCAATAATGCTCAGAGGCTGCCTGATACAATGGCCAATCAATAGGAGGGCTGTAGATCAGGGTGCTAGTTAGCTGGAAAATTACCGCACCGCTGCGTGCGTCACGCTGTAGGGATCCTGGACAATCAATGTGGGAGGTATTGATTTAGTTATTATCACTTCATACGCTCCAGACATTGTTAAATATACATTTATTAACAAGACTGGGGTGCATTGGTAAGAGAGGGAGCTTTAGCCACTGCAATACCTCTCAAGGCTGATCAAAGCTCAGCTGCGACAGACTTTTAAAGCCCATGTTCTCCCTGTCAAGCGTGCTCTCAGGACAAATCCTGATGCACAGCGTAGTGCTGAAGACGCAGCTCCTATATTTCAAGAGAGAGGTTTTGGCTACAAGGTAATATTCTGCACTTGAGATTTCATGAAAACCTCTCGGAGCAACAGCAACCAGGGACGTGGTGGCCAAGGGTCAACTCAAAGTGAGCGATAATTGCATGGTTACTTCCGAAAAGCCAGAGGAAATGAGGTCAAGGGAAATAGGGAGAACATTAGTAAATAAAGGAAACTGGAACTACCTCCAGGGATAGAATAAAGATGAGAGTCACTTCCCATGTGTCTGGCTCCCGTGGTGGCCAGCACACTTGGGACACATGCCATTCCATTTAGTGACATTTTACCGTCAACCTGCTGCTTGTATCCTAAAGATAAGCATCGCTTAGGAGCAACTCTTCCTGCAGCAGCAATCTTGGGAACTCCCTCAGGCTTCCCTCTTGCGTGCGCGCCTCGTGTGTGCCTGCCCGGACACAGCCGGGAGCAGCGCGAGCGGTATTTTTCAGGGTAAGGCTGGGGTGGAGCGAGGGTCAGAAAGCCAAGCTTCATGGAGAGGGTAAGGCTGTGTCCAAGTTACCCTGCCAAGGGAGGCAAAGGGAATTACAGGGAAAGATGAATTGGCTTTCACCAGCCCCCTCTTA